ATATCAAGGGAATGTAGATAAACTGGATCAAAACCAGATTGACCCACAGCAGTGATTACTCTGGGCATTTACAGTCTCTCTGTGAAATAACAAGGTGATTCCTGAGTTGCAGTGCTGGTTCTTCTTCCCCACACGCTGTTCTCTCTGTCCCATATTTTCTGTAATTTTTAATCTATTTCAGCCTTTCCTCAAGCCCTCCAATTGTGCTGCATGGGCACAAGAGCGTGAAGAAGGAGACACAGTGGGATGAAAAATCAGATTGGAGACTTGGGGGAAAAATGACCAAGTGAGTCCTTGTTAAGGAACCTGGCAGCTGCACACTCCTGCACGTGGAATCAATTAGCAACCAAAGCCAACAGAAATCTGACCAAACCCTCTTTATCCTAATTAGCAGCACTCACTGTGCTCCACAGGTGAGGTGTGGGGCAGATGTGCTTTGCTGAATTTGGCAGATTCTTTTCTAGAGAATGGTTTAATTTACTGATAAAATACTTTACCCCCAATCAATGGGCGTTTTATTGCTAGGTTTAGCATCTTTCGGCTCGTCTCCTGTTTGTTTTGGTTTGGTTTTTTTAATTTCTGATTGAATCCAGCAAAGTGATGGGATAAATGCATGGTGGAGCTAAGCAAACAGGTAGAGGTTGCATTCATGAATCACACAGCATTTGTTTTGACAACCCTATTTATGCTGTAGCTTTTAAACTTTGAAAGGCAGAGAGAATTGGGATTGTTCAGCTTGGAGAAGAGAAGGCTTCAAGGTGACCTAATTGCAGCTTTCTAGTTCCTAAAGAGAACCTACAAGAAAGCTGGAGAGAGACTATTTACAAGGGTCTGGAGTGACAGGGGAAACAGGAATGGCTTCACACTGACAGAGGCAGGTTTAGATCATATTAGGAAAGAATTCTCTGTGAGGGTGGGGAGGCCCTGGCACAGGTTACCCAGGGTAGCTGTGGTTGCCTGGTTGCCCCTGGATCCCTGGAAGTTTCCAGGGTCAGGTTGGACAGGTCTTGGAGCCACCTGGGATGGTGGAAGGCTTGGGATGGTGGAATGGCTGGGGATGGTGGATGGTGGACAGGTTGGACAGGGCTTGGAGCCGCCTGGGATGGTCTCACCTGCCCATGGGGTGAGACTGGATGGGATTTAAGGTCTCTTCCAATCCCAAGGTGTTCTAGGATTCTGTGATTCTACTTTGGGTCACTCCTGCAGAGCATGAAGGTTTTTAAAGTGTGTAATTCCTGTGTGGCTCCAGGTGATGTTCAGAAATGTGTTTAAGTGTTGTAGTGGCAAGTGATTCCCAGGGATTGGGATTAGCAGCTCTGTGGTTTCAGGCCTGGAGGAGGTATTCCTGGGGCTCCCAGCTGAGCCTCACGGAGGTCTGTGCAGGGCTCAGGCAGTGGCCAGGTGCCCTCCGCAAAGCCACTGCTCTTCCCAGGCAGGAGGAAGTGAGAGTTGGGAAGGCAGCTCAGCATCAAAGGCTCTTACTGAAAGCCATAAAACTGGAAGTACACTCTGTTTCTGCTCCTATCTTTCCATAAAGGAACAGAAAGCATTAACTCCGTGGGCATAGAATAAGGTTCTGCCTTCTTTTGCGTCCCACCCAATCTGTTTGGAATAGGTCAGAATGCTGTGCAGAATGGCACCGAGTCCCTGTAAGGACAGGAGAGAGGAGCTGATGCCACACGGCTGTCACGGTGTCACCCAAACCTACAGAAAGAAGCAGCAAGGTGGGTGTGGTGGCAAAGGGGGACAGTCAGACTTGATGAGGCAGCACTGTCAGGTGTGCTGAGCTGTGTGCTCTGTGGGAGTGCTGGCTGGCATTGGCAGAGGAGGGGCTAGGTGTGGAATGGGCACACATTCAGCAGTCACAGCCTGTGCCGGTGCTTTTCTTCTGACTGCGAAATAGATAATGTGAGTGTGGTTTTGGCCAACCCAAGATGAGCAGCTCAAAGGCTCCAGCCATGCTTTGGGCTTCATTCTAGGATGAGCTGCTGGTTTAGAGTAAACTCACAATTTTGCTGTCTGATCCTGTGAGCTGAGAGGTCACATTGCCGTGGTGCTGTTTGTCTCCCAGTGCAATAGCACCTACCGTAATCCATATGTTACCGTGTGCTTAGGGGAAACTTGGAAGGGCTCTGTTGTACAAATGAGCTGGCCAAACTGCTGAAAACCCAAGTACTTCATCTTGTGGTCCTGTGGCAGAATTTAGACAAAAAGTGTTTGCTTCTCCTCCATATCAGCCAAAGCATCCCTCTCGCTTCCTAGACCCTTTTCCCACTCTAATCTTTCAGAGCAATATTTTCCTTGATTTATAGTTAAATTTTTTCCCTCTTTGTGGGAAACAAAAATTGGTAGGAAGTGCAGTGGGGGAGCTCAGAATTCCTCAATTCTGAATTTTGTCTTTTTTTTCACTCCGCTGACACAGTCTCTTCATGCCCTTAAATGCTTGCTGGTGGCTACTGGCACTTTCTCTTGAGGCATTGGTACAGTTCTGTTGCAGGCTCTTAAGGTTCATTTCAGTCCCTAACTGATGAGGTTCCTGGAAATGAGGCTCGGGTTTTATTTGGCAATGGCATTGCTTCAGCCTTGCAAAATACTGCTTGCCTGAGGTGAGTAACAGGTTTTGATGGGTGAGTAAAGCATCATCTGTCATCGTCACAACCAAGTACAGGCAACCTGGTTGTGTCTGAGCTCCTAAGCGTTCTGTGCAGTTCTGAGTTTAGTTGTGCTGCAAGGAGTCATAATGGGGTTTGTGTGTTTCTGTTTAAACTGCAGCTCTGTTCCTCACTGATGGCGCAGGAGAGCCTGGCAGATGTCACATGTCAGGTGTCAGGCACCACTGCAGAGCTCCCAGGGGATGGGAGCTCTCAGAGCCAGTTTGTGCTGAGTGAGAGGAGCAGCTTTGCTCAGTTCCCACCCTGTTTCAGGGCAGAAAGGTGATTCGTAAATCAGTTATTCCCAGAACAGCACAGTGTCAGATGCTTCCCTCTATACCAGGTACTTCTTGAATGGGATTTTGCCTCCTGGTCTGTGGAAGTGTCGTGGTTTGACACGTAAAGATAATTTTTTCCGGAAGGAAGAGGTCAATTTAGATATTGACCAATTGAAAGTAGACACGCCTCTGAGAACACAGAGGGGTTGAAAGCAGAATTCCCAGGGGAGCTCGCTCTCTTTGGTTCCGGTCAGCGTGCAGTGCTGTGCTCTCCCCTGCCCAGCAACGAGCTGGGTGGGGAGGGGAAGCCCCATGGCCTGAGAAAGGTAGGCCGAAGGCCCCAAGGGTGGTGGAAGGACTGGAACCGGGCTGGCCCCTGCAGATGGAAGGGTGGAAGAAATCTGGGATGTCTCCATTTCCCCCCCAGAGTTCCTCTCCCGAGAGGGAGAGAGAAAGCCGCAAGGAAGGAGGAGCGGGGGGAGCTGCTGCAAGGTGCCCAGCTGTGTGGGAGTTGCTGGATGTCTGGGCATCGAGCCATCCCTGGGGAGATCGGACTTTTAACCCTTTCCTTGAGAAATGAAAGCTTTGTGAATTTTCCTTTCCCCTCCTCGGTTTGAAAGAGAGGAAGAGGGACACCTTGGACCCTGGGATGAGATGTTGGAAGGAGGAATTCTGGATGGGAGGGGGACAAGGAGTGGCTTTTGGCTGGACTTTTCCATGTTAGCCACAACCTGAACCAAATCTTCTCCTTCAAGAGGGACTGTGTTTTGGGAGGATGCCAGTGAGTCAAGAGACCTGCTTCAGCTGGGAAAAAGACAAAAGTGGAGTGAACAGAGAAAAGGTTAGGGGGTTTGTGGTGGCGTCCCCTTGCCCTGGAAAGGAAAGAGAAGAGAAGATCTCTGTTCTTGAGCCCTCGGCCCCAGGGGAAAATGGGGGGGGACTGTGGTCCCAAACAATGAAAAACTGAACTGTTGTTTTCTCCCCTCTTGGCAGGGCATCCTTGAAAGGAAAAATCCTAAAGGCAGTGACCATCCATGCATTGTGGTGAGAGCACTGTGCATGGAAAGGAGAAGGGTCACCATGGCAAACTTTTTCTCCGGGCGGTGCCATGTGTGACATGGAAACACAGGATGTGAAGCTGTGTTTTCTTGGGGGGTCTGTGGCACAGGAGAGACTCTGTTCCCTCGATGGACTGAGTATCGGTTGTTTGGAGGGTGGAAACCTGATTGGGGTCCAGATTGTGTCTCACTGTGGTTTGTTGGAGTTGGGTGGTGGGGGGAGGAATGTTTTGCAAGGTTTTCATTTGGATATTTGTGTGGTTTTTTCCCCCTTCTTTAGTTTTCTCTTTTCTTTTGTAGTGGTAGTTTAATAAAGTTTTTTTCCTGTTATTAAGCTTGGGCCTGCTTTGCTCTATTCTAGGTTCCACTTCACAGCATTCAAGGTAGGGATCACATTTTCATGGGGGCACTGGCATTGTGCCAGTGTCAAACCATGACAGGAAGATTAGTCAGAAGTCCTGAAAATTTCATGTTAATACTTGATTTGCAGTTTTTGGGTTTATTGCACCATTGCATTTGTCACCAGAGAGAGACGCTGGAATCCTCATGTTATTGGAAATTATCCTGTCAGCACCTAGAATGGGATTTCTGTTGAAATGTTTCTCTTCCCATAAAGTCCGATGGTGTTTATAAGAGTATAGTGAATCCCTGTCCACCCATTTAGCCTTCACACTCACTTGGAGTGAACTTCTACCCTTTTTTCTTCCTGTTTTGTTTTGTTTTGTGTTTTGTTTTTAAATTTTTCCTCTCCTAACAAAAGCAAGATGGATGTTAAAAGCCAAAGCTGGTTTTCTGCAGTAACAATGAGGTGATTTCCTAAGACTGCACTGGTTCAGGTGCAGAAATGAGATCAAAACCTGAGTATTTCTGACCTCTTCCTGTGGATTCCCCATCTAAAGACAAAGCTTAGAGGTCTGGGTGGAAGCATATTAATTAGGCTTCATTATCTCTGCCAGCCTGGCAATCATTTATCATTTAATAAATCTGAATCTGCAACTTGGAACTGAATTACTCATCTCAGTTTTGCAGTATCTTCTTTTGCCTTAGTGTTTCTGAGACTTGAAATGCTAAATATGAATAGAAATCACAAACTGGGATCACAAACATTTCCATCACAAATGAGGAATGTTTGGGCCTGACTATGGTTCTTCAAAATGTTTCATGTTAGTTTCTGCTCTCTTTTTAATTGTCCCATTTGCTTGCTTTTATTGGGTTGTCTTGATTTTATTGCAGATTTTACTGATAAGGGAGCATTATAAGAAAAGCAATTTCTTTATTATATTTTTCTGTGGGTTTTACTGGATTTATAAAATGCAGAGATGAGCTTATTTTATCAGGTCTTCTCTGGTCAAGTTCAAGATTATTTTCTACATTGTGATTTTTAACAATTTTATTGGCCCAGTTTGAAAATTCTCCAAGCTAATTACTTCTGCCCATGTAACTTCCAAACTCTTTTTTCCCAGAGGGATCTTTGTAAATAATCTTTGTGCTTGAGCTTCTTTATTTTTAAAGCCTGAACACAAAGAATAAAATCTAAAAAGGGATGGGCCTGCCCTTGTTGAAACTGGCAACCAAACATTTGCTACAAACCAATGTTTACAGATGTACAAGGCTACATCAAATATTAATAAATTCAATACCACCCAACACGAGGCTCATTTAGTCCAATTCCTGCCTGTCCCTGCAGCTGTGGGGATGTGGATGTTTTCTGTGACCTTGAACACGGACACCGGCTGCAGATGTTCCACACCTGCAGCTCCAATAAACCTGTGGAAGCTGGGGAACTCCTACAGAGGTTATCCTGTGCTACCCAGAGATATTTGCTGTTGCCATTTGCAAATGTCTGTCCTGCTTTTGGCCCAGTTAAAATAATCGTACAGAGTCGTGGTGGTGCTGGAATTGGAGCTGCAGGAATGCTGAAGTGTCCTGTGTTGCCCTGCATCAGGTCCATGGGTTTGCCTTTGGCTGAATTATGCTCACACTGAACCTGTAGGTAGAAAGTTGAGCGCCTGGAAGACTTCAGGTCAAGAATGGAGTTCAGGGGGTCTCACGAATCAGAACCAAGGTCTGATGATCACAAACCTGGGGTTCTGTGTTCGAGAAGGTGGAGGGCTGTTGACGTTTGCAAATGAAGGTATTCAGCTGTTCTGTTCCTTTGTGCTGAAAACAAATACACAGCCTTCGAGGCTGCAAGTTCTGAGTCTTGGGGGAGGAAAAGATCAATTTCAAGTGAAATAAATTTGAGCTGAAGGAACTTGAAAGCTCTGAAAAATCAGGTTGTTGTTACCACATCAGGCATTTAGAATCAGGCCCCTCACATTTGACCTATGTTCATAATCTTCCTTTTCTTTCTCCTCTCCCTTTGAGCAGTGGGGAAGGGCTGTGAAGAACCTTAAGCTATGAGGAAACAATTCTGCCAACAGATGTGGATAAACCTTCATGCTTTGAATGTTCTGAGATCAGCGGTGTACTCTCCCATAAAACATGGAATTGGTCCATTGACTCCTTTGGGTTGTTTTGCAGTGGTGTAACTTTTGCCCTGTGTTCAATCTGAGTGAGTCATTATGCTTCTGCTCCTTACCCAGCAGTAACATTCCATTGCAGAAACAGCTTCACTTTTATTGATTCTTCCTAATAGCAGAGAATCAGCAAAGCAGCACATTATTTATTAGACTGAAAAACACCAAATAATAATGAGTTGTTTTATATTAGATGATCAAATGTAAGAGCCTTCAGTACCTTGGTTAATGGGTCTGGTTGGAATGTTCAGCTGGAACACAATAACTGGCTGCCCAGAGAGCTGTTCTTAAGATGCCAAATATATATATATATATTTTTTTTTCCTATTTAATCCTTTTTCCTCCTCTCTGTTATATTCCAGTTCTCACATGCACAAAATGCATTTTTCCTTAATACCATTCAAGAGCATCTCTGGAAGGACAGATGCTGGAGGGTTTGTGTGGATTTCATATTAGCAAACCTGCTCTACTGAGCTCTGTTGTGTAAAGGAAGATGCAGTCCTGATAGTAAATTCTGCATTTCCAGAACTTAGGAAGGAGGGATAGAGCTGTGGGATGAAACTGGAGGTTTCCCCTTTAATCAGCCAGGCCTCACCCTCAGATCAGAGACTATTAGTAAAGACACTCGTCTTTCTAATACAAATTTATATGTTCTGGGATTGAGGCTGGGCCTCCCCAGCTCACTTGGCCACAGGTGCACTTTGAGATTTTGTCAGGAGGGAGCCCCAACCTCTGTCTGCACCAGTTTGGGCAGAACCAGAGCTGTTCATTCATGTGCAGGGGTGTCACTGCCTTGGAGACCTCTGCTCCTGCAGTGCCATGGGCACCTTCCCTGCTCCCGGGCACAGGAACTCTGTCTGGAACAGCATGTGGAACTTGGAGATCTCCTTCCACTGTCCTTCTGCCATGGCACTGAGCTGTCCCACCAGCCTCAGCCTCTGGAATCTGCATCAGGATGGTGCTGCTCCTGAAGTGTTTGAGGGAGGTGAACTGGATGGGATCCTGCAGGAAGCTGAGTCCACTTAGAATTATCATTTCTTCAGAATCTTCTTCCTCTTTGTGTTGAAATGAAATGATGCTCTGTCTCCTTGGGGGTGAAGAGAAGGATGTGAGCCTTTCAGAAGCAAGTCCAGCATCTTTGAAGCTTTAAGAAATACAAGCTTTAGATAAAGAGGGGGAAGAACATGTGGGATGAAGCTTTGATAGGGTGGTGGAGGCAGGATCCTGAGGCCAGGGAGCACATAGGAGTAGAAGACAGAGGGGGCTTCTCCACTCAACAAAGGAGCCCTGTTTCAGAGTGAAGCAAATGCTTTCAGACTGAGGTTTCAGTGAAATGCAAATGTCTGAGAAAAGATCTCAGACTAATGAAGTGCTTGGAATAAAAGTTTTGGACCAGAGCTTGCAAATGCAACCTTTGACTTGCCTCTTTCTTTCTGGAGTTCAGTAGCTCCATAGTGCACACAGTAAAGAAGATCAAAGAATGGGTAATCTTTGCAGCTATTTGCTCATCAGAAAGGTGGGGTTTTAGTTTAATTTTTTTAATGCTTGGTTGCATTTGCAGGTCAGGAGTAATAAAAGATGTACAGTGACACTATTTAGCACACTTTAATAATTTTATCTGGACCAGTAAAGTGTTTCTGCATGACCTGTGTTTTAAGCTCCAAAGCTTAAATCTCTGAAGTCTACCACATATCATATCTTTTCCAAAGCTGCCCTGTGTGTGTCTGGATGGGTTTTCTAGTTCTGCATCTGGATTTCCTGTGAAGTCCTTAGCAGGACAGGCTGTGCTGGAGCAGGGATGAGTGTCAAACCCCTCTCTCCTTCCCAGCTCTCCCTTTAGTGGCACAGGGAATGGGAGTTATGATCAGTTCATCACAAGGTTGTTTCTGTTGCTGCTCAGAGAGGAGTTAGAGTCCTTCCCTGCTCTAGCAGTGAATTCCTCTCGTAGGAGACAGTTTCTCATGAACTTTCTCAAAGTGAGTCCATCCCATGGGCAACAGTTCTCCACAAACTACTGCAAGTCGGTCATTCTTCCTCCAGGTCAGCCCTTCAGGCTGTAGCTGTTCAGCATCACTTTGTAAGTCACCAGTATCCTTTGATTAAATTACTCACTGTTTCAGCAGAGCACCCACACAGGTAGTATCAAAGAGTCATTAGCGTTTGAAAAGACCTTTAAGATCATCAAGTAAACCAAGATGTGCCTGAAAGTACTATTAGAGACCAGTGTTCCAAAATTAAAACATTACCAGTAAAAGGGAATTTTCTCTACTGAGGTGGTGTGGCAGCACACAGATGATAGTTACTTGCCTCACAGTGGGATACTGAGTGTCAGTTAAAGTTTGTAAAGGACTTTGACAGAACTCACTGCCTGAAAGGTGTTTTAACATTTAAATTTGATTGTTGTCTTTTTCTTTACTTCTGCAGTGCCAAGACAATCTGTGCCCTGCCCTGATTCCCAAACCTGTGAGCAAATGGATTGCTTTGAGAATGGAAAGATTTGTACTCAAACAGGCTCCCAGCAGCACAGGGAGAGGTACAGAAATCCCAGATTTTCCCCATCTTTTGTTTGAAAACATTTGAAGGGAGCATGGTGTTACTGTGAGTAGAATGAACCTGTCAGACCAAGTGTTACAGTTCTCTATCCAGGAAATCCTGAAGACATCTTTCATTTCTTCAGGTCCTCAGCCCAGGCCTCCTCATTCCAAGAAGTTCAGAGACACTGGAAACAGTGCAGGAATAATACTTTAATTTTATATTGCTTTTAATTTTGGATGTTTTAACGATATCAAAGACATTCCAGATGATTGCAGGAATGGGAAATAATGGAAATCTTACTACCAGCAGTGGCTATCAGGTGACTGAGGCTGGCAGACCTGTCAGACGTCTCCGGAGGAAGAGAAGATTGCCTCTGGATTCAGAGGATGAGGAGGAAAATGCATATGAGGATGAGGTAAATGAGGCTGCATGTACTTCCTTTAATGAGAGCTGTGAAAAGCAGGGGCAGTTTTCTCAGGGCTCCTTGTGCAGTGCTAGCTGGGCTGAGGGAGCTGGTTCTGTACCCAGGGAATGGTTTGGGTCTGATCCTGATTTACATCAGTGATGGGAATATCTGTTCTGAGGAGTCACGGGGTGAATGAATAGCTCATGTGAAGTGAAAGTCAGGAGTTCACAGTAATAACACCATATGTCTCCAGAATAACTACACTCAAATACTGTTGTGTGATACTGAAGATCAGTGTCAAACCACAGGGTTTGTTTGGATTTTATTACATACTTGTACATACTCTCACTGCATTACCAGAAACCTGTATTAGTGGTGCATAAACAGCAGTACCTCAATCCTGAGCTGATCTTTCCTTCAGTTTCCTGCAGCCCCTAACTCCCTCCCAGGGCCCTGTGCTCTGCTCCTGCCCATCAGTACCTCTCTGAGCCATTTTATGTTTAATCACATAATACAGGGTTCTGTATGGCAGAACAGGGGCGATAAAGCTGCAGCCTCTGCTGTCATGAGCAGTTTAACTCATCATCTTGCTCAGCTTTTCTCTGGGATGTGGGTGTGATGTTTTAAGGGATGGATGTTTTCAGAAGTCCTTGCAGTCTCTCTCTTCCCCCTTCTCCTTGTTCTCATTAGAAACTGCCCCCCATCCCTTTGGGAATGTTTGGCAGGCAGCTTTGTATGGCACATTTTGCCTGGTTTTGGTTTGCTCTGAGAAATGACAGCCTGGGAGTAATCAAACCTGAGTTTGCAAACATGCAGAAGAAAACGGAATGACGGTCGGGTATGGAGTGTGACACAGAGACCACATTGTCTGGAGTACTTATCTATGACAAGAGTTACTTGAAGGTTCTGCTTCCTTCAGGGCTTCATAAATTCCTTTTTTGTCCCTACATCCATTCCCTGGCACAGATGGATGTAAGAAAGGGAAGGGAGAAAGGAGTGTTCAGTAAGGCTGCTGATGTGAGCAGCAAATCCTGCATTGCAGAAAGCAAATCCTCTGTATTGTAATGGAGATTTTGGTCCTGTGCTGCTCTTTAACAGCCACATTTAAATGAACTTCAGTAGCATATATTAAATAACTTGTAAAGCACTTTGGCATACCAAGATCACCACATTCCCTCCTGATGTTCTTTCAAGGTTGTTCAAGAGACAGCAACTGCTGCTAGTACTCCTTTTAGTTACCTGTTACATCCGTGTTGTACCTGCATTGTGAGATGATCAGAGGGGAGGGAAAAACAATCTTGCTAAACTTCTTTTTAACATATCTGTGTCTAGGAGAAGAATAAATCAAATAATATGAAAAGCCGCAGAAACACTAAACCAATAAAACAAGGTGAGCTAAGCTCATAGTCTTTTCTTTAATGTTATAGATTTTTTTTAGTAGCTATTATAAAGTTAATAATAATAAACAAAAGAATAAAGGACAGGAGAGCTAATTTCACATTCAGAACAGCTTATTAGGTACATAAACCTCTTACCACAGTCAGCTTCAGAGGTGTATTAGTAGGAATATCCTGGATTTGCATGCATGATGGACACAAGGTAAGGATCTGGAAGGAGTCAACTTCATCTAGAGCTCACTGAAGACAGTAATCTTTTTTTCATTGACTTTGGAGAACTTCAGTCACAGCCTACAGTGCTAAGTAAAAATTAAATTGTAAACAACGTGATTGATTGTAGACTATGAGTTGAATGTATTATATACCTTAAATCAGTCAATATGTAACTGGGGGGAGAGTTTTAGTACACATTTAGAATGTAATTTTCTGTATGTATGACTGTGGTTCTACCAGAATGAATCCAAGTTGTTTTCATCATCTGGGAGCTGCCTCCCTAGTAGATGCATTGTGTTATTAGGAGGTTATAAATATATGTGTGTATATAAAAAAGATATTGTGAACTTAGCAAAAAATGACTTGGTTTTTAATTTATTTTATTTTAGGCTTATTTTAGCTGCAATTATATGCCTCTCTGTGCTGCCTGTTAGTTTATATTTAACCCCTTATTCCTCTGAAATGTCAGGAAGAGGAATTAATTCTAACAATTTTAAATTATCTGTCTTGTCCAGACTTTCCCTTGGCACCTTTCCTTGAGCAGCTTGCCAGCAGTGCAGGTGCCACAGTTCATTTGATCTGTGATACAATAAATTTTCATTTCCTGAGGAATGAGTCCAGTTTTCCCATTGCTGGAATTTCCAAAAGCAAGCAAAAGCAAAGAAGGAAAGCAAAACCTTTCCTCAAATGTTGAGTAACACTGCCTCTTCTGGGGTGCCTCAGCAAATATGGGAGGAGAAGAGAGGAGGAGAAGCAGAGCAGGAGGCATCAGAGAGAAGCATTCATTTTTTCATTGTTTTTAATTAATTAGTGCTTCCTGGAAAGAAGAAGGCATGGAACTGGTCTTCCTACTTGGAAGAGGAACAGATGCCAGCTGCTCCCCAAAAGCTGTTCAGAGAGGTTGGCAGTTTTTTTCACTCTCTTGCTGTTTTTCCCGGGCAACATCACAGGATTACTGGCAGTCACAGGATTGCCAGCTTGGTTGAGGTGGGACTGGAGACCACCCTTAAGCTAGCACTTGTATTTCTGAATTGTTTTGGTACAAGTAGGCCAGGGAAACAGGAATTTGCCCTGGGCGCCTCATCCCAAACCAGGGCGTAAAAAATGCTGGTTGAATCTTACAAATAAGCAGCAGCTGTTTGGATCTGCTCTGCTCTGGACCAGTGAGCTGTTAGGCAGCTTCCAAGGAGGGTGGAGAGGGACAGCCTGCTGTCTGTCATATGTCCTGTGGGATTGTCCAGCCTGTCCCTGGGAAGCCATGAGTCTGCTGGCTCGGGCAATGGTGTGGGCACACTGGGGAGTGCCAGGAGGGAAGGTGGGCTTGTGTCAGTCACTTGGCAGTGCCAGAGGCTGGGTTCAGCCTTGGTGAAGCTGCCCCTGCACCCCAGTTAAATGTGTGGCTCCCAGTGAGCTCTTCAGAGCCCAGGGCTTTTGGTTCTTCCAGAACCAGCTTAAAAGGAAGGTCCAGTCCTGCATTGGGTCATTTGGAATCCCAGTTCAGAGTGCTTTTAAACTTTACTGTATTTCAGCTGTTTCCACTTGGATTAAGACTGCAGATAAATGAAAAACACAAATGTTTTCTGGAATAACTGTAAAACTGGGCTGCAGATCTAGCCTGCCTTGTCCCTTTCCTTGTCACCATTTGAAGATGACAAGTTACCTTTTGGTGAGAGTCTGGACTGACACAAAGTGATTGTAGCTTTCCCAGCTCTTTGATTCTGCATTGATTTGGGAAGGGGATTCTTTTGTGCTTGAGAAGAGCTCATTTCTGCATCTGCTCAAGGATGTGTTTGTAGCTAATTGCAACAGTGCAGTGGTTTTGAGAGATTAATTAGAATAATGAGTAAATGTGAAATACCGTGATGGTGCCATTGCTGATCCTTGAGCCTGAACCTGTCTGTTAAAGCCACAGTCACTTGGGGTGGGATTTTCTTCTCTAAGTTGAGCATTTGAAGCCTGAAATATAAAAATTGGAGCCTTAAGTATGTTAAAACTGCTCTGCAATAGATTTTGTCTTTAGGAATTAAAAACAAACGCTTCTTCCCCCCTCACAGTATCAGTCATTCCCACAAGGCCGAAATGGATTTAAAGTTGGAATGAAATTGGAAGGGGTGGATCCTGAACACCCCTCTCGTTTCTGTGTTCTCACCGTTGCTGAGGTAGTTGCTTTTCTTGTCTTTGATTCCAAAAGTCCCATGTACATCTAGATTTTTTTTTTTAAATAAAAAGTAGAAACATAAGAGTAATAGAACTTTAGTGAGTTAATAAATGGTAGGAGTTCAAGGTGATACTGAAGGAAAGGTGTTATGTAATTAAGGATCTTTGCCTGAAATCCTACTGGCAGATTTTTATACTTGTTACTAAGAATAGCAAACCTATTAATTGCCTGTAGTGAACAAATATGAAAGAGAACAATGCCATGAGGCCCTAAGACCTAGTAAACACAAACAAGTCTGAATACTGTTATCCAGCTTCAGTTATGTGAAATCTGGGTTGATCTGGTATAGACATTTAAGTTCTGGGGCTGCTTTTGTGCCCCCCATGCATGTGTGCATGGCATGGAGCAGGGGCTCAGGGAGGTTCCACTGACCAGTTCTATTTCCAGCTGTTTGAATTGGGGAAAGAGGAGCATGGAAACTGGGAGAGCAAATGAGTTAAAATACAACTAGAGTTTCTGAGAAATAAACGAGATCCTAAGTTACTTTCTCAGAAAGTCAAATATGAGGGAGTGTTTTATTAGTGATTGTTTTTCTCTTTTGTGACCCTTGGTGATAATCAGAGCTTCTCTCCCTGTAGGTTCAGGGATACAGGATGCGACTGCACTTTGATGGTTACCCAGAGTACTACGACTTCTGGGCTAATGCTGATTCCTCAGACATCCACCCTGTGGGCTGGTGTGAAAAAACAAGCCATAAGCTGCTCCCTCCTAAAGGTATTACAGAAAATAGAGTGGTGTAGAAGACACCATAAATTCTACTAAGGTGTCCTGGCTCTACATATTTCATTTTTAGTTTGATTTCATCATGGAACTCTATCTGAGGGGCTAAAGGGAAGAGGTTTAACTAACACAATGACTCACAAAAGAGCAAAATATCTTCTCTGTGATATTCCCAAAGACTGAGTTGTTAGTCACAGTGGAAACTCTGAATTGAATGTCTGTCTGTGCTTCAGAACTTGTTTCTTTCCTGCATTCAGTCCTTTCCTGCATTCAATTTCCTAGAAACATTTGAAGGTTGAGATTAATGATTGGACATTATGGTGAAAAAGAGAGATCTGGTTTAGCTGAAATGCACAGCCTCTGGAGATCATAGCAGGGCAGTTAGCACGCAAAGTTCATATTCTTTCCAGGTAATTTCCATTTCTGAAAAACTCGCCAGAATGTACCAGGGCCATGTAAAGCAATCATTTTTTTCTCTCCTCCTAGGTTTCAAGGAGGGAGAATTTAATTGGACTTCCTATCTGAAGAACTGCAAAGCTCAAGCAGCTCCAAAAAGCCTTTTTAAGACCCCCAGCAGTGTAAGTGGTGATATGGAATAGAAGGGGTTTCAATAGGTCTGGTGCTAAGTGAGTTTTGACCAGAATATTTATATGGTTTTAATATGCTTATGTCAGAGGTACAACCATGGTACAATCAGATGCAATCTACTTCCTGCTGTGTTTTATTTTTAAGAAAGAAAACTCGTACAATTTTTCTTCCTTTCCTCAGTCACTGATTTTCCAGAGAAAGAATTTGTATTTCCCTTCCTCCTTAATGCTGGAGGAAAAGATTTATTGAACCATTTATTAAATATATTACAGCTATCTGTTTTACTGCACCCCTATGTTTAAGATATTTGTGTCACTTTCATCTAATTTAATAATTTCCAAAATAATTTCTGGATTCCAGCAGCATGCTCATGTGTGCCATGGGATTCATTGTGGGGCTGTGGATCTTGAGCACTTGTCATCCTTCCCCACTGGTTCTCTCTCAGTGGTTGGTAACCTCAGTTCCTGAGAAATCCTCCATCCCATTCCATGTTACTGGGATGACATGAAGCCCATGGGCTGGTGGATTGGAGGCTGCACATGGACAGTCACTGACTCAGTTGGATCAGGGCTCAGCTCTGCCCTACTTCAATCACTTCATCTCCTTGAAGTCTCCTAACTTTTCCACCAGTGAAACAGGATGTGCAATGCCCATTATCCTCAGCAAATCACTGCAGAGTGTCTCAGCCTGGGAGTCTGCAGTGGTGGATGTACCTGGAAATGCTGTTTTTTAAGCCAAATTAGCTCTTTTTTAGTAATAGTCATTGCCAGAACTCATGGAAAATCCTGTCTGCAAACCTCTTAGTAGTCACTGTAGTGTGTTTTGTCTGTAGGTTTTGGGGTCAAAGGAGTTTAAAAGGGGAATTTCAATGGCTTGACCAAGAATGTGGCTGATTTCTCTTTCCTGCTGTCCTGTTTCTCAGCCTGTCACACCTTCTGGGTTTCGTCTGGGAATGAAACTGGAGGCAGTGGACAAGAAGAACCCATCACTGGTTTGTGTCGCCACCATCACAGACATGGTGGAAAACCGGCTGCTGATCCATTTCGATAACTGGGATGAGAGCTACGACTACTGGTAAAAGACTATTTTTGATACATGTCTGAAGGTAGACTGGCTTTTATTTTAAATGCAGGCCCTAAAGTTGGGATCTTATATCAGTTCTCAGGCGTCTGAATAATTACTTGGGGTTTTCACAAAGAGCCAGTTGCCCAATAGTTCCCTTCCTGTTTGGGTGCTGGGCAGCTCAGTGCAGAACCATTAGGGGTGGCCTGAGCTGTCTGGGAAGCATTGGAGATAAGAAAACTCCTTGTGGTGCCTGAAGGAGCTCCAGGAAAGCTGGAGATGGCCTTTGGACAAAGGATGGAAGGACAGTACAAGGGGAATGACTTCCCACTGCCAGAGGGCAGGGATGGATGGGATATTGGGAAGGAATTGTTCCCTGGGAGGGTGGGGAGGCCATGGAACAGGGTGCCCAGAGAAGCTGTGGCAGTCCCTGGGTCCCTGGAAGTGTTCAAGGCTAGGCTGGACAGGGCTTGGAGCACCTAGGGACATTGGGAGGTGTCCCTGCCCATGGCAGAGGGTGGAATGGGATGAGATCCCTTCCAACCAAACCACTGCAAAATTTACTTTGTATTTCCCTTTCTTTTGGGACAGCTTGAATGCCTTGAAAACCCAGTGTTACACATTCTAACCAGGCAGCGCTTGTCTTCTACACTGTGATCACATCCACTGAAAGCATCTGCTCACCCAGCAAAGGCCTATCAGACAGCACTGAAATCCTGCCTTTCTTTTTGCTTTCCATCTGACTGGTGCCAACTTTCCCTCTTTGATTCAGGTGTGAAACGAGCAGCCCATATATCCGTCCTGTCGGCTACTGCCAAGAAACTGGAACCCCACTGACAACACCACCTGGTAGGTTGCTAGTAAGACTTACTTCCTGCCTCAGCCAAAAAACCTGCAAGCTATATCTTCCACATAATTATATATTTGCAAGTTCCAGGTAGCTTCAGAACTCTTTACTGCCTGAACAATATTATTGTTCCTACTTTTTGCCATTGCAATTTATGTTGTTTCATAGCTCATTGAAGAAATCCGTCTTAGTTTGAAAACACAGGTGTCTGCTAAGGAAGGCAGGAGCCTCTCTTGAAATGAAAAATATAAACAACCCCCCTCCAAATTACTATAATTTTGAAATTAAGGGGCTCTCAGGCAAAGATATGGGAGTAGAAATTGCAGTTCTTTATTAGGAAAAAATAATTAACATATAAAAATAAAAATTAAGTAATACAAAACAACACTGCCAGAGTCCAAGCAGACCCTGGCCCCTGTGGGTCAGGGAGGTGGCTCAGCCCCATCCCAGGGGGGCTCAGCCCTCCTGCAGTGCCAGCTGTGCTTCTGCTGGAGCAGGATCTGCACAAGGGGGGAGTTTTCCTTGGAGCTCCAGGGCTGCGGGAGATGGGCCTGGGCTCCTCTGGGAATGCAGGGGGAAGAAAGCTGCTCCTCTGGGAATGCAGGGGGAAGGAAGCTGCTCCTCTGGGAATGCAGGGGGAAGGAAGCTGCTCCCCTGGGAATGCAGGGGGAAGGAAGCTGCTCCCCTGGGAATGCAGGGGGAAGGAAGCTGCTCCCCTGGGAATGCAGGGGGAAGGAAGCTGCTCCTCTGGGAATGCAGGGGGCAAAGGCTGCTGTGCTGTTCTCAGGTCAGATTGGATCCAGGTAGGAATGCTTGGCTCCTCCCCTGGGCACAGCATCTCCCCATGGATGATGGAATTTTCTCAGCCATGCAGGGACACTCAGTGGCCATGGACAGCAGAGATCTCCTGGAGGGAGGATTGGCTGTGGGAGATAAAGAAAATTGTCCAAAGAACAGCAGAGACCTGCCCCAGCTCTGACAGGTGGCAGTAGAATACACACCCCCAGCAACATCTTGCAATCTGTGACGAAGTGGAACAGGATTTGGTAATTTATAGTTGAATTTGATTTTATAAGGGAAGAAGTGAGAAGGATTCGCAGCATTTCCTTCAAGGTGAGCTGGGAGAAAAAGGGATCTCTACCATGATTTCCTAGATGGCATTTCTGGAAATCACAGAATACTCTGGCTTGGAAGGACCCACCTGAATCATTGAGTCCAGCCCTTAAGTGAATGACCCATACAGGAATTGAACTACTGCCTTGGCATTGTTAGCACCATGCTCTAATGATTACCTAGATGGAATTTCTGGAAATGAAGGAGTAACTGAATCCACATCTCTTTCTGTTGTACTGAAATTTGGTAAATGAAGAGAATGTTGGCAAATAAGGGAGGACAGAACGTACAGGGAAACCAGTGTTTTGAGGCATTGGAAGTGCTCGTTCAACTTAAAAATAGCAAACATAAAACAATTAAGCCTGACATTTGTCAGACTGACAGCCCTGGACCAAGAATTCCTGTAGTTGCTGTGTTCCAGGTTCAGTAGAGCAGGAAGCACTTTCAGGATTCCTCTGCATGGGGGGAATTGGCCTCACTGTCTTCACTATAGGTGTAGAAGGGGTTATGAACATTCCGTCTCAGCTGCACCACATCTGTCCCTGCTCCTGGAATGTTCAGGACTGGGTGAAGTCCTGTAGTTCTCTGCTTATGTGAGAATTTCCCATGCCCCAACAAAACCTGCAGCCAGTTCTGGTCTCTCTGCTGAAGGACTTAAATGCAGCAGTTTGCAGACTGTGCTCTGCATTTAGTCACTACACCCTCCTGCCAGAAGGAACCTGTCCTGGGGGTAAACATTACTGAAATAGGAAAGAAGTAAAGCAGTTTCTTAAATGTAATTTCCAGGGAGAGACATCCCACTGTTGTTGGAGCAGCACACCCATGGAGCCTTTTCTCTCCAGACTACTGGGTTTACTCAGCCTGGGTGAGCGGGCAGCAGGAGAGGAGAAGGTTCTACAGTCTTACAGGCACTCACACATAGAGTAGTTAATAAAACAGGAAATTAATGTAGTGATGCCATTGCACATCACAGAATCATCTCACTAGCTCATAATTTGAGTTTTCTTTAGAGAATAAGAATTGATTAAGCTGTGCAGAAGTGAACTCGCCAGGGTTCAAGTCCAGTGTAAAACTGGGGAACTGGCAGAGCTGCTCTGGGTGGAGGTGGTGGGTAGGAGCAAACAGGCCACTTTCCAGCACCATCCATTGTAAGTGCTCATTACAGTGTCACAGAGCTGCCTTTTTGCTGTTTGTAACAGTAAATGTGGGGTTTTTCCTACAGAAATGTTTATTCTCTGTTTTTTCAGGACACAGGGATTCCAAAGACTTCTCGTGGGAGAAGTACTTGGAAGAAACTAATTCCCAAGCGGCCCCTGCAAGAGCCTTTAAATTGGTAGGTGAATATCTTTGATTGCTCTTGCTCAGTTGCTGTTATCCACCCTTTTTTGCTTGAGACTTTATTTGAGCATGGTTCACCTTGTCTGTGCGAGGAAGGTGAAACTGGTTTACTTTAAGATCATCTCACTGCTGCTAAAACAAAAACACACAGCAAAATACAAGATTTTTTTGGTTTTTTTATACTATGGAAGGCTGGCTTGGAAAGGATTTTTGACTAATCTTCAGTGGTTCCATTAGCAGATTTAAGGGCAGAACCTTCAGTCCACACAGGTAACTGTGGCTTCCAGAGGTATGTGGGAAGTGCCTCACAGAGGGCACAGAGAGAGGAGAAAGGGTGCAGTTATCTGGTGTTCCCTCTACATGAAGTTTTAAAAACCTTTCTAAAATTCACCTTGCAGGTGTGCAAATCCGTACTTCCCTAGCTGGTGAGGCTGGAATTAAGGTAGAGAAGTTCATACCAAGGGTTTATGTGTGCTGATATAGATCATAGTCCTTCTGGGGAGGAGCCAGCTGTGCCCTCCACAGAAATAAATGTATTAACAGATGAAAGAGCATCTCTGCCAAATCCCTAAGACCATCCTGCAGACTCAGCGTGAAGGGGCTTCTCTCAACCTCAAGATAGTGAGCTTTTGTTTCTTTCATTGCAGTTCAGTGTGTTTATCTGGAATCTCACTGTAAGCAGAAACAAACCAAAAGCCTCTAAAATGACTGTACTTTTAATTTGATTTTTTCCCTTCCAATGCTGCTGGCTCACCTTGCTAAACTTTGCAATATGTTTAAAAACTCTTCTTTGCCATCGTAACACGTGTCTTGGTTCCTTTTTCTGAAGTGGGAGTTGCAGGTTAATACCTGCTGCTCTCCTGTGTATTTCTCTGGAAAGGTTTTTGGGATGGTGGAGGAAAAGCAATCAGGGAGGCCTCAGATAAGAGAGGTAAAAATCCAGCTAGAAAGGTTTGATAATTGCCAGATTTCAGCAGGTATCCACATGAGGTTGGTGCAGGCTGCAAAGTGGTGTTAGGGAGGTGGAAGAAGTTTTTGCCTCTTCAGAGAGCTGTAGAGCTTTAACTGGAGTTATCTGCATCGCATCCAAAACATCCCTGGGATTGAGGTTTCCCATAGCTGCAAAGCAGCTTAGGGCCAGGGATAGGATGAGGAGTGGAGCCTGTTAGTGGGACACAGTTGTTGCCCCCAAGAGTGGACTAAGATGTTTTGAAATCCCAATAGAGCTGGAAAATGTGAACTTAAAACTCTCAGCTCAAGTTCTCTGTAAGATCTGCCATTGTGGTTTCTTCCTTCAGATTTTCAGGGTCTAAAGTGTGGTGAGAGATGTCATTTGAGCATAAGAGGGCTTTGCTCAGGACAGGGAGCCTGTTCTATACTGAGAACTTCCTTCTTTGGATTCTTCCAAAGTGAAGTGTCTTCCCAAGGAGGATGCAGCTGCCTTGTCTGCCTCCTTTCCTGTTTTCCAGACATTTCTGCAGCCATTTTTCTACTCCTTCATGTATCAGGCTTTGAAAAAAAAGTAGAAGGGCCAATTCTGCCCCTCATGAAACTCCAGAGTGCAAATTAGCATCTAAAACTGTGTTTCAAAAATGATACAGAAAAGAAAATGTATTCGATATATCAGAAGTTAATAGGACTCTTTCAAGATCAAACCTCGTTATTTTTTCTGGCTTGGTTGGACTGAAGTGCAAATAAATGGCAAAGCTATTGATTTTTTAAAAATAATAATTATTATTCCAGCTAACAATTACAGGAAATCAGTATATAAAAATGTGGGTTGAGAGCCAGAACAGGCATTTCTCACTGAATTAGCTTTTAACAATTTTAAAGAGCTGTCTTATGTAGTCTGGAGACATGGGTCATCAGCACAAATAGCAGGTCTTGGGTCTGGATTTCTGCCCTCTCCACCCAAAAACTCAGGAGACATCTCCAGTGTAAGCATTGTTATTTCAGACCATCCTCTTGGGCTGGCAATTCCAAAACATTCATAAGCTATTGCCAAAAGGGCAGCAACTCTTCAGCAAGACTTAAGCAAAGAGCCTGGCTCCTCTTCTGGGCAGGATTTGGACCTTGAGCATTCATCTCCTTCTTCAGGGAGGACAGACAAGGTTGCCTGGTTCAATAAAATGCTCTTGAAAATAAAAGCAGTTTAGATTGTCTGTTTTGTGGTGTGTCCAGTGTCTGACAGCACACTGATAGATATCTGTGTCCAGGTGAAATGGCTGAAGAGGAACTTCAGGTATGGAGTTAAACCTCTTAGCCCAGGAGTGCATCTCCTTCCTGCCCCCAGCCACTGGCAGTAACAAGGCTAAGGAAGACTGGGAGGGAAGAGTGATTCTAATGATTTCATTAACCTGGTCATGTTCAAATAGACAATTTATCATTTTGTGCTAAACCCCTCACCTCTGTGTGCAGAAGTGAAGAGGGACATGTTTTGAATGAGCATCCATAACCCCCTGCTGAGGAGGTCAGAGGAGGAATTTGCAGACAGATAAATGGAAACATTGGTAAAAGCTGTCTGTTGCTTAGAGGTTACATAGGGTGCTGCAAAGGGTACACATCAGGTTAAAGGACGTTCTGGAGTTTTCCCAAAGTATTCAGGATTTGAAGAAAAGGATGAGTGAACCTCTGCAGGGGCAGGCTCTGGGGCAGAGCTGCTGTAAGCCCCAGCACAGCAGTTCCCAGCAGTTGTTCACCAACAGCACAGGGGTAATCTGTGTAATGAGGATAACTGAAAGCCAGGAGCTGAGGCCAGGGAAGATATAGGGTAGTGAAGAGAGACTTCACCCAATGGTGTGTTCAGCTGTGAAGAGCGGGGAATTGGCCACTGTCCTTGATGGTGTGGCATCACGGAATAGTCAGGTTGGAAGAGAGGCTGGAGATCATCCATTCCAACCCCCTGCCAAGGCAGAGTCACCTGGAGCAGGTGACACAGGTGGGTTTGAAATTCTGCATCCAGGTGTGTTTGGAATGTCACCAGAGTGGGAGACTCTACACCCTCCCTGGCCAGCTGTTCTAGTGCTCTGCTATTATGGAAAGTTCTTCCTCGTGTTGAGGTTTTAGTGGTTTATTTTAGGGCCACTGCTCCTTTTCCTGCTGGAGAGTTTGGCACTGTGCTCTGACACTTGCCCTGGAGATACTCATATGGACTGTTGAGATCTCTCCCCTCTCAGTCTCCTCTTCTAGAGAAGACCACGTCCCTACTGTGTGCTAGGTGTGCTGTCAGGCTCGGGAGGCCATGTCAGTGGAGCTGCTCGTGGTGGTCCCTGGCCTTTTGTCTGTGAAGGAAGGGTCTCTTGTTCTGGCTGGGACAGCTCCTCTGTGCTGAGCCCCCTCAGGCTGCCTCTCCAGCAGTTTGGGGCTGCTGACAAACACTCAGCTAAGTCCTCTTGGGAACTCTGATTTTAACCTCTTGGATTTTAGCCTCTGAACAGACTGCCATGTGACATAACCCAAAGCTGCAAAGGCAGCTATGGGTGGATGGAAACTGGAGCACATTTCATTCAGAGCATGTACCAGCTCTGAACTCCAAGGCTTTTTAGCATTCTGCTTACAATCCTCCCTTCCAGCGTCCTCCTCACGGATTCCAGGTTAATACGAAGTTAGAGGCTGTGGACAGACGAAATCCCATCTTGATAAGAGTGGCAACAATCATTGACAAAGACAGCCATCGCATTAAGGTATGACCTTGCTCCCAAGTGCAGAACCTGTGCTGGGAACCATGGGATGGGCAGTGCAGGGAAAACAACACTTGGGAACAAGGAGCAGCAAACAACAGCCTGGCAGCTGCTGTGGCCTCCAGGCCTGCCCAGCTGTTGCTTTGTTTTACTAAAATCTGATGGAATTGGGCTGGTGTTAGTTACTATTCTAATGTAACTGTTTTGACCTAACACTTGACACTGTGATGTCCTATTTCTTGGCATATTCCCTGTGATCTCCATGACTGATGGCAGCATGAGTGTTCTGCTGGGGAAGCTGCCTGGCTGTTTTTTTCCTACCAGGAAAGGAAAACCCAAAGCAATTTAAAGCCTGGTAAATGTGGGAAGTAGTGTCATTCTTCAGTACAAATTTGTCACATCAATGCATTTTAGCCTGGTATTTCATGCAAATATATTGCCCAAATAATCTGTTGTGCTTTGGCTTCTGAGGAACTAAGTACAAGCCAGCTAAAGAGGAGGCTGCACTGATGGAGACTCCATGGCCAAAGGATCTCCCTCCTAAAGAATGATTACATGGGCAGAAGTGGAATTCACTCCCCTTTATCTGGCTGATTCTGAGTCTCATTGCTGTGAACAAAAGCCAAGCTTTGCCAGTCCATTGAGGCATGATACTTAATTCATACATTGAACTTTCCTGCATGAACAACCCAGTAGCCTTTAAACTCCAGTGATCTTCAGTCTCTGGATCTGAGCTACTGCCAGTCTCTTCATCCAGCAGAAAATTGCAGCTTGTTCACTGCAAAACTCACCAAACTTGTTGGCTTTTATGGTGTTTTGGGATCCACAGAAAACAAAACAAATAAGCATTTGTATTTGCATAGTTTTGGAGTTTGCATGTTAGAGCATCCCATGGGCTGTGGGGTGACAGATTGTCACCAGAAGCTGGTTATTCTGTGAAACACAGATGCAGGAAAACAAAGAGTTAGACTGAGCACAGAGATGTTTGTGCCTAACTGAAAGATTGATCTGAAAGATTGAATGAATCAGCCCCAAGCTGAGCAAGGTGAAACAAAGGGAGACGTTAACGTAAGAGCTGAGTCATGCCCTGAACTCTGTCTTTCCCTGAGACTTCTTCTTTCAGATACATTTTGATGGCTGGGACCATGACTATGATTTCTGGGTGGATGCAGACAGCCCTGACATCCATCCTGTGGGCTGGTGTGACAAAACTGGACACGCTCTGCAAGTCCCTCTAGGTAAATACAGGACACGCTTTTGTTATGCTGTATTATTTCCTAAGTGCAGTCTGCTCCTCATGTGCAAATCTGTTTATCTTTCTTTTTTTACTACTCTCAGGCACTGAAGATCCAGAGGGAGCAGTGGGACAAGCGTGTCCTACTCCGGGCTGCCAGGGGATTGGGCACGTCCGGGGCCCCCGATACGGAACACATTACACGTATGTGGATGAGTGCTGTTAATGACAATAGCAACAGCTACAGCAACAACAGCAATAATAATAATGATGATGATGCAGCACCGAGCAACTGCACTGCACTGAAATTATCTCCGGGTAGTTATTCTGGAGATAGCTATAACTGCAACCGCAGCTCCCTCTTGTGTCTAAGTAGGCTGTTTGATCATAAATTTTGTTTATACCACTATAATCATGATAGCTGCAATGTAAACAGATTCATTCACTCCAGTTTCTCCATTCCAGCAGTACTGAAGGAGTTACATTTATGAAATAATATACCCAACAACAACATGCAAGGAGACAGTTAAAGAGGAGAGGGCATAGATAGGATGTTAAAGTGTAGGTGAGGAGAGGTTGCTCATGTTTTGTGCTCTGTCTTTTGATTTCTTGTGTGCTTTTGGAAAAGGAAGCTTTTTCTCAAGTAAATTATTTTAAGAGCAAGAGAACAATCTCAGGTGGGAGGTCAGAAGACCTGGTAGTTTATAATGTAGTTAAGGGCTTTGAATTTTTCAGACTGAAAGTTGCAGAAGTCTGTTGATCCATGAAATGTTGTTCTGATAAGCAAGTTATCGAGGACAAGCTCTTCTTGCTCTTTAACAACATGACTTTGGGTTTTAATTCTGCCGTATAGTCCCTTGCTTTCTCACACGTATAGCTGGGTAACAGCACCTCCTGAGAGTTTGTGGCCTCATTTTTTCTGGATTTGTGATGGATTTCTCTTCCTGAAGTAAGGAAGACTGTATGACTGTAAAGCTTTCATTGCCCTCTCTCTTTTTTCTTTCTCCATCACAGCTTAGTTGGCTGCCCATACTCTGATATGAACCTCAGCAGAGAAAACCTCTTACAGGACCGGCTGAGTGGGGAGAGACCTTCCCCTGGGAACATCATGCAGAAAACCAAGAGGCTGGAGACACCTGGCCCACTGCTGGGAGCAGGGGAGTCTTCTCAGGGTGACTTTTCACAATCCAGGTAAACTGGATTTTACTCTTGGCCAGGTACTGGGGCACAAAGCCATTTACAAGGATGAAAACCACTGGAATTGGCAGCAACACAGTGGAGCATTGAGTTCATCTGTCTGTAATATTGACGTGTGCCCCAATCACTCTTAATGCAGAGCAGTGCACTTTTATACCCTCAAATGCTTTAATAAGTTTCTTGACTCCTTAATCCTGGTGCTCTGGTCACATTCCAACAATGGAAATTGCATTCTGTCTTCATACGTTTTTCCTTGCTGTTTCAATTTAAAATTGAATTTTAAATTTTTAAATTTTGTTTCCTGTCCTAAAACTGTTAAATCAAGGGTATTTTGCGCTATTAAACTGTAATTGTGGTTCACCCTGGGTCTGTTAAGCATTGTGTGTGTTATCTTAGCAAGCAAACAAGCTGAGCACTCTCAGATACTTTGTTTTGTCACAAGAAAGTCTCACAACTGAGCAGCATTGAAGGAAACTGTGCCTTAGTTCTTGGGGTGCAGGAGTTGGTTAAACCTGTCATGGGACAGACCAGGATATGAAGGGTTTTTTAAGATCATTTTTAGTCTTCACAAATCCAGTCTCACTAGGGCAAACTCCAGTAATACTTTAGTTTTTTGTTGTATGTGAAGGCTTATCTATATTTTAAAGCTCATCTATTTGTTTAGATTTATAACATTTTCAAGATATGTTTGTCCAGAATAAAGGAGTGAATGCTTCTTTTTCCTCCCTAGCCTTCATGGCCAAATTGCTTCCTCCCATGCCAGAACTATCCAGGCATCTTCATTCCCTAATTTCCACACCAAAATTGATTGCATTTCAATGGCACTCTTACCATAAAGCTCTTGGGAGATTTTGAATTCTCAGAGAATAAATAGCATTTTAGAATGTATTTTTTTTTCTTCTAAGTATTTAATTTCCTGATAGTGGGAGGTCTGAATTCAGCCTAGAAGTCTGGTGTCCTGCTGCTTGTCTTCCCTTGGCCAACTCTGTAGCTCAGTTTATGCATCAGATTTAGTCATGGAAACTCTAAAATGTTATCCAGAGGTATCAAGATTCAGAAACCTTAAACTCTTGCTTTCACCATAACACAGTGGTTTCCTATAGCTGCTGGGATCAGAACCTGAGCCAACAGAGGCTGATTTATTTCACTTAAACTCTCTCAATCCTTGCAGAAGAGGAGCAAAACACTTTGTACTCATGTAGGGGAGAGGAAAGTTCTGCCACAAGGTGGTGGTTGTTGCTCTCACTTGCCAGGAGCAGCCAGCTCTGCTCTCCTCTGGGAAAAGGGAGCAGAGGATGTCAGTTCAGCTACTGTCATTTATCTGTCTTTCCAGAAAATCTGCACCAGACAGTGAAAAGTGGTGTCAAAGCAGCATCCACACTCCATCAGAGCAGTCAGAAGACAGTCGGGAGAGAGGCTGGGGAGAGGAAGATTTCTCTGTAGATATCAAAGCTGCACCAAAAATGTAAACAAGAGTTTTGTGATGTATTTTCATGCATTAACAGTTGTGTTTCTTGATGTTGCTGCAGTATCTGAAATAACAATGTAAATAACAAACAGCCAAATTTGATTGAAGTTTTGCAGCAGAGTGTTTTAGAATGACATGGTAAATCTCCTCCCTTCCTCCTGTTGTTTTGGGCCCTCTCTTTCCTGCAGTAAACTCAGATCTGAGTTCTGGCCATGAATTTAAGAGAACAGCTCAGAGAGAGGTCAGGGATGGAGCTATTGCTTATTTTAGGAGGAAAAAGTTTTAGTTTCTATAAATCTCACTTACCTTTGTATGGAGAAGAAATTACAACCATTTCTGTATCTTCTGAAATGTTTTATAATTGTTGCTTTCAGGCTTGGGTGCTCACATGCCTATATCAAGTTTCAGCTGGTGAAACAGGAAAGCAATGGGAAAGGTTGGTTAAGTTTTATTCCATCTTTCTCTATGTGTGCTTATCTCTGCAATATCCCCACAGTCATGAGGAGCATTAAGAATTCACAACTTTTTTTGTCTTTGATTCCACAGTCAAGAGAAAGCACATGCTGGAGATAATAGCAATAATAGTTTTTCTTCCTTTAAAATTAAGAGAAAGTGTAAAATTACTTAGAAGTGAAAGGTTTAATACATTGCAGAGTGGTATTTATTAACTGAGAAGACAAGTTTGCACTGGACTTTGTGCCACTGCAAACTCCTCTGCAGTGACAAGTGGTTCCCAAACAGTCTGTGACCTGTGTCAGGCTGTGACAGAGCCAGCACAGGGCTCAAGGGAGATTTCCTCAAAACTTAGCAGATAGTTTTGGTTCCATCAACCCCTTTTTTTACACCCTCATGGGTATTCAGAAACATATTCTGAGTCATTGGAGGACTTTTTAAAGGATCTCTTTCTTAAGGATCTCTTTCTCTCCTTTCTCTTAAGGATTAAAAAGAAAATTAAAAGCTAAATGGAAAAACAATGGGTTTTTTTTCCTGGTATGTGACAGGTTAAGTTTCCAGAGCAGCTTTCTGCTGTCACTTTAGCAAACCATATGCTTAACTTTCAGATTTACTATAAAAAGCCATTTCAGAGAACAGAGCTGACCAGGCTTTTAGGAGGATTTGAGATGGCAATAAGTCCCTAATCAAAAATAGCTAAGCAGGCACAAACTGGGACAGGTGCCTGGATGTTGGTTTGTTGTTTTTTTTTTTAATACTCATTTTTACCTAGTTCTGAGTTTTGCAGTCAGAGCTGAGGGATCTGCCAGCTCCAAGTGGCAGTTGCAGCTGGCAGGGAAAGCTGCCCACTCTCTTTTTGCATTCATCTTCCATGGAGTGATGGAAATCAAGGGAGGGAAATGCAATCATCCACTGACCTGTAATTTCACAGTTACCCAGAGCTTTCCTCCCAGCTGCATTTAAACAATGAGATCACTGCTTCTTCGTCAGAGGGAAAGTCACTTGTCTAGGTCATGGTTTGGGTGCTTAGTTCAAGGATTTGTGCTTAGTGGAGAAAAGGAATAGGTCTGAGATGGAAGCAATGCCCACCCAGCAGGGATGTGGCAGTGGGGGAGACCTTGGGCATGACTGGGACCTCCTGGAGCAGGACGTGGGCACCAGACCAGGTGCTGTCTGTCCCCACCACTGCAGCAGGGAAGGAGGGGCGTGACAGCCATCTCTGGAGCAGGTCCTGTGCCCTCTTGCCACCAGGAGCTCCTGAACTGAGCAGTTCTTACTCAGGCTGTATTTATCCTCCCTTGGTTTCATTATTAGAAATTTGATGTTATTTGATGCTGTCTCATGACTGTTAGGGATGTGGAGATGAGATGAGCTGAGTGGGCTCTGGGCCAGGGCAGTGATTGTTCACTAGGACAGGCTTTACCTCCAGAGCTGCTTCCCCTTCAGCTAGGGGGCAGCTGGCTAACCCTGGGAATCTGCTTTTTCTTTGTATTTCAGCCATTTTCCTTTGTGCATTCCACAGTAGTGACTGCTTACCCCCCTCATCTTACACCCCAGCCCGCTGAGAGCCGCTGAGCAGAGGCAGCAGGGGCAGCAGGGCAGCGGCTGCTCCAGGCACACGGATCCTTCCCGAGGGCTGGGATTACAGTGGGAATGCTCGGGAATGCCACGGGATGGCGCTGGGACATCCTATCCCCCGGGATGGAGGTCGGGGGTAGCCCCCGTGCCGCTGTAAACCAGAGGAGTGCTTCCCAGCCTGCTCCCATCCTCTGCCTGGCTTCCTGTTGTATAACCAGCACATCCCTGTAGGACCATGACTCTGCACTGCTCCAGCGATCTCATTAGGGAGGGGTGATTCCTTCCTCTTTATTTTGTCTTGGTTTTCAGAGCTTCACTTGACACATGAGGAGGGAGTTGATGCCTGGAGGTACCTTGAGCACTCCTGGCCTGGGAGTCTCCTGGGGAGTGAGCCCAGGCCATGCTGGCAGCACAGAACTCTGGCTACAGCTGGGGCTGGAACACTGCCATCAGTTCCCAGACGAGGATGCTGTTACCAGAATTCCTCCACCTTGTCAATAAAATGCTGCAAACATCTCTGTTAGCAGCATGACATCATTTTCCAGGGAAGAAGCTAATGATAAAGCCTCCAGCCTGGCAGTCTTATCTTTTTTTTCCCTTTTCTCCTCAGGAGGAGGAGAATGTCCTGAGAGCTCTGTGTGCCACACAGTAGGCATGCCTGCTCCACTCACCCTGCTTTGCTTTCCCCTCCAGGCTGTGACCCTTTTTCCTGCTTTGTTGTAGTTGCTCCTACTTGAAGCCTGGCTCTGACTTGTCTTGTTTCCTTTTTCAGACCCTGATTTGGATCTCCAGCAGGCCCTCCACCAGTCTATCTTCATGCCTTCTCTGGCCTCTAACCCGATGCACCGCCTCCATCTCTTCTGGGAGCAGCACTGCAGGCTCTTGCCGGAGGTCTCAGGCCTGACAGCCAAACAAGTTGCCAAATGGACAGTGGAGGAGGTGAGTTACCTGTTCCCTGTTCCACTCTCCCAGGATGCAGGAATGCCAGAGCACTCTTCTCTGGAGTGCTTATTGAAAGACATCTTTATTTCCTTCCCTCTCCTAGGCAGTGCTCTTCTGTTTGCTGTGTGTGTGTCACAGCTGACTCAGATGGAAGTTAGACCCAAGACCCTTTATCAGGGAGGGGAAGGACCCCTGTTAACCCTCTAGTATCCACAGCCTATTGCCCTCAGCTGGATTCCCTCCCTCTATTTATTTACCCTTTGATTTCTCAGTCCTCAGGCCTGAAGCATCACTCTGACAGCAGATTCCCTTTTTCTGATCTCCCTCCCCCTCTCCTGTGATTTTGCTGCTGATTCACTTTTACAGTGCAGAGAATTCCAAACTGCACTGTGCATGCCCACTCCTGCTGCGTCTCCCTGCCTGATTCCGTGGGAACAAAACTGCCCACAGCCTGACCTGATTTCTGGCAGAGGTAGCTGTGCAGCTGGAGATGTGTCTCTGCGGCTCTTGAAATGTCTCCTGTAATTAGGTGTTGTGTGAAAAAGCCAGAGTGTTTTGTGTGCTGAGTAGTTGGTTTTTGCCTTGATGCCTTGGGCATAAATATTTCTCTCTGTGCTTGGGAAGTGGTTATAATTTGGATCCTGGTGCTTAATTGCAGGGCATTTAATTCCAGAGAAATGTGCTGTAGTGTTGCGCTTGCAAGGATGCAGGGAATCTGCAAAGCAGGAAAAAGGTGCTGCTGCTCATGATGCAGAGAGGATCTCCAGAGACTTTTAGAAAGTGCATTTTCCCTAAGTGCCTCTTAACATTGGATAAATGCTATCTTGACTTTGCTCTTCATGCTGGAGGAGTGGTAGGAGTCTGGTGGGACTTGCAGTGATGTGGGAGATGAGAACCACAGCAGTTGGAAAAGGGACAGAGCAATAAGTGCTGATGTTTTAAACTGGTCCTTTTTTGTGTTGAGTTGTTGTGGTTTGGTGGTAGTGTTGGGTTTTAGTTGGGTTTTTTTTTGTTTTTGTTTGTTTGGGTTTTTTTTTGTTCTTTTTAATAAAAATGTCTTAGAATTAAATTCATACTGTGGAGGAAAAAAAAAAATCTCTGAAAGATTTACTGTTCCTGTCTTTTTGAGAAAGCTTCCAATGATTTGTCCAAAAGATCTTTTATCAAATCAATAAAGTCAGAAGCAGATAATCTTCTGACATGATAATCAAAATCTCTTTCTTTTGGATAAAACAGGAGGCTGCTTCATGGGAGTACAGTGTCAGGATCCAAGCCAAATAAAATTTGTCCTTTGCAATTGACCTTTAAAGCAACTGCTGGGTAAATTTAGCTGGGATATTAGTTTGATAACGGATGAGTGTGAGCAGGGACCACAGACATGGATACAGGGCACTGGATGTAGTGATTCAAACCTGGAATAAACTGAATTCTGCTGCAGCCTGAAACAACTGGGGAACTTTTGGCTGCCAGTAGCAGTGTGAATGGCATGTTGAAAAGCTCAGTTGTAGCACCACAATGCACTGGCTGAAGTAATTACAGGTTTTATCTTGAATTTCAGTAAAGTGCATCTGGTTTTGAAAATGACGTTCATCACAAATTCCCAGAGGAATCAATTTAGGTTCTCTCTGAGCACTTGCAGGATCAGCATGTGCAGTGCAATGTAGCCACAGATCTGGGAGTTGAAAGTAGCAGGACTTGCTGTGTTTTAGGGAGTCCAAAGTACATTTGGTCTGTTGGCATTTGGGCTCCCAACACCTTCCTGCGTGGCAGACATTTGCCTTTGGGTTGTGCTTTGAACTCTGCTGCACAAAGGAGTCCTGAAAGAGTCTAAAGGAGTCCTGTGCTGATCTGAAACAGGAGCGATGTGGGTGTAAAATTCTCCTTTGGTTTCATGCTGAAGAACTGTTTTTATTTTATAAAACCCCCATTAAGGGAAAAAACATTGCTTTAATTCTCTGCAGGTTGAGAGCAGCTTAAATGGCAGAGCAGCAGCAGTAGCAGTATTTAGGGGCCCTCACGCTAAGAAAATCACGGTAACACTGAGCAGTCACTAAAAGTAGTTACTTTAATGCAGCTTTGGTATTTATTGAAAGCTTCCTGTCATGTTTGCAGAGCACACACTATTGACTCACAGAAGAACATTAAGATGTGCTAGAGTTGTATTGTTCATTAGTTAATCCTGCTTCAAATGCCGATACCCTGGTGGGGGGGGGTTGGGAACTGCCCTTGTGCCAAGTGTAAGTGGTTTTCTAAATCCCTGTTAACCCAGCTCCTGTCTGTGGCCTCAGAGGGGATCAGTCCTGGAGTAGCTGTTGAAGGGGTGTGGTGTGGGGCTGCCTTGTCACCACAGGCCATCAACTTGTGCTGATCTCAGCAAGCCTGCCACACATCAGCACCTTCCAGAAGGGTCATGTCCAGTTTCCAGGGTGTTCTCAGGATTGCAAAAAGCTCTTTTGCAGGCCCATCCCTTTACCAATGTGCTTTGGGAGTGTAAGAGTTTCCAGCAGGCAGTTTTGAGCCATGGCATGGTTACAGCAGGGAGGGCCAGCAGACTTTCACTTCATAGAAAAACTCTGATCCCACTGAGATGTTCCCAACCTGTCCAACATCCTGTCGCATCCTCACTTTGAGCCCTTCCAGTCTCAGCCTTTCTCAGGGTTCGAGGCTTCCCTGCCAATATTGTGGGGTTGTATTCGATTTCTGTGGTATTTTGTTCATGTGCTCCTAAGCCTCTCTCATCCCTCAACTGCCCTGTCTTGGTTTGGGAACCCTCCTCCCCAGCAGTGACAGCCAGGCAGGTCCCTGTGGCTCAGTGGGGTCTGTCTCATGTCTGGGGACCTTCTCGCCCATTTTCAGCTCTTGCATCTTTCTTCCCTCTCTGTTATCCATTCCTGGTAAACCCCAGGGCTGCTGTTTGCTTAAGAGGCCTCTTCAGTGGCACAGGATGCTTGCAGTGTCCCTACAAAGGACTTTGGGCAGATCAAAGGTCTGTCACTCCGTGTCAGTGACAGTAGCCAGCAGCAGTTGTGCAGGGAAGGATACAGGAGCAAACCAAGCCCAGGTCATTCCCTGGAGATGTCTGCCAGCCTCTCAGCGCCACAGACACTGAAGAGACCCAGCTCTTGCCCCAAGGGTCCAACTGTCATGTAAATTCTTGAAGGAACCAGACCTGGCAGAAGGATTTTCATTTGTATTTTAATTAATAGCAGACAGGGGAACTCAAAAGGAAAGTAGTCTTTTTTTATTGGTTATTAATAGGAGTTTACACTTCTGCAGAAGAAAATTTTGAGTCATTGCCTAAGAGAGATGTGGATTTTAGGGCTTGCCTTTAAGATTGAGCAGAAGAAGAGGATGAAGGAGAGGGATGCTCTGCTTTCAGGTTACATAACAGAAACCACGGGAGTCAGAGCTGCTCCTGCCAGGGCAGAGCAAACCTGGAGGGCACTCTGAGAGCCCAGTTCCTGCCTGGCTGGAACTGGGAGGGAGGGAATGACTCCAAGTCTAGGGGTGGGATGATCTAGAGGTACAGGGATGTGATTTAGGAGAGACTTTGACAATTTTGAGTTGAAGGGAGCACTGTATCCAACAGTGACCCGGCCCAACTGCTTGTTTGTGAACAGGGAAGAAATGTCACATGTGCAACAACTCACACAGTTACGCCTCATGAAGCAGAGCTGCTCCTGCAGGAGAGCATCCAATTAACAGGACATGTTTGATCTGATAACACCTCAATATACAAATCTCCTGTGAACCAGTGAAGCTGCAGCTGGAGAAGACAATGCACATTAAGTCATCCTTGACTGCGCACAGGGCTATTCTGCACACTCGTTGGTGTTATATAATGTAACCCAGGGCTGCCTGCATGACTGCAGGGAGATTATTCCAAATGTTAACAGATCCCTTGCCTAGAAAGGTTTTCTATATTGTGAGTCATAAAATTAACTTTTACTTGCTAAATCCTCTTTGTTCCATGGATCCTTTTTACCCAGCACAGACTAAATGAAACCAAAACTCCTTTCTTTCTGTTCTGCCTTTGCATGTTGGTAAACCAGTAGTGCTCATTCAGTTGGTTTATCTTGTCTCTTACAGGCATGTCATCTTGGGAAACTGTCTAAATCCTTTTTTCATGTTAGTTTTACAGTGCTGTAGAGAAAGTGAAGTTGTGAGTGAATCTAAAGTAGTCTAAGCCATATATAGCTTTTTATGTGTAAAAATAATGTTGATTCTGTGAGAACCTTCTAGAGGAGTGGAGAAACTGGATTCTTACAGGGAGAGAAATGGTTAAATGGCAATAGGGGCAGTTATTGGTGGTAACCAAAATATACAGAGGAGTTGCAGCAACAACCTAGCAATGTTTTCCATCTGTATCCTTCATCAATATGAGAGTTCTGATTATTAAAGTTTTAAAAATTCTTCCATAGAGAATTGTCATACAGAAATAAGAGGGGTTTTATTGATGGTGTCTCATTTTAATTGTCTGTGTTTTCTTTCTCTTACATGCAATTGCAGGTAGTGAGCTTTATCCAGCGTTTACCTGGCTGCAAAGAACAAGCATCTGTGTTCAGGGAAGAGGTAAGTGGGATGTGCCCAGACCCTGTGCTGCAGATCCCTGGAATTACAGCAGAGAGCTCAGACTGGCTCACCTGTTTCATTGAAGAGCAGTGGCATTTAGAAGGCAGCCTCAGCATGGAGCTGAATTCCACTATGGCTAATTGCATCCTGCTGCTTTAAATTTCCTCTGCAGTTCCAATCACTGAGCTTATGCTTAACATCCTGTCTTGGACCGTTGTACCATGGGTTTGGCACTGCTCTAAAGATGCCCTGTTGGAATGGTTAGTGAGGATCTCATCTGCTGCCTCTAATGAGGACATGTGTCTGTTTCTCCTGGGGAGCCTGGCAGGCACAGGGTTTCCCAGGAATTGCTGGCTTCCCCCATGGGCTGGGGTGAGTGCAGGAGAGGAACCTTTTGTTTTGACAAGCAGAGTTTGGGAAGTCAGAGCATGTTCTGTGTGAGGTGTGTCCTGTCAGTACTGCTGTGGGCTGGGCTCTGGTGCTGTTCCTGGTGTGTTCACCATGGCCTCTGGGAGACCTTCATGGGCACAAAGTGTGGCTGTCCTGGTTTTTGGAACAGCTCTGTAGGTGGATTGCAGACAGGGATCTCTTGGATCCTTTAGCTTCCACTGACATTGCAGGTATCACTTGGAGGTTCTTTAGGAACCCTTGATGAATTTGCACAGATGCATCTTGTCCTGGATTCCTCTCAAGGTGTGGGCAGCTTATGGGGGTGGAATTCTTCCTCTCTGTCCTGCTCAGGTGATTCCCCACCTCCAGAGCTCCCTTCAACCGTGGGCACCAGCATCAGAAGCCACGAGGAGCTTCTGGAGTGAATCCAGAGGTGACCACAGAGATGCTTCAGGGGCTGGAGCCCCTCTGCTCTGGAGCCAGGCTGAGAGAGCTGGGGGTGCTCACCTGGAGAAGAGAAGGTTCCAGGAAGACCTCAGAACCCCTTCCAGGCCTAAGAGGCTCCAGGAGAGCTGGAGAGGGTCTTTAGATAAGGAGTGACAGAACAAGGGGCAGTGGCCTTAACGTGAAGGAGAGTGGGCATTAGAAAGAAGTTCCTCCCTGTGAGGGTGGAGAGGCTCTGGTACAGGGTGCCCAGAGCAGCTGTGGCTGTCCCATCCTGGAAATATCCAAGGTGAGGTTGGACAGGGCTTGGAGGCACCTGGGATAGTGGAAAGTGTCCTTGCCCATGGCAGGGGGTGGAACAAGATGAGCTTTAAGGTTCCTTCCAACCAAAACCATCCCATGGTTCTGTGACTGTCCTCAGAGCTCTCCTGTGTGGCTACAAGAGCTTCAGGGAAGGGCTGGAGTCTCTCCTTCTGCATGGCAGTGACTGGAAAGGGCACTTCTGTAATTGCTGTCTGCTCCAGTACTGGCTCCTTTTCAGGGGGAATCAGGCTGCAGTGCATTTTGTGGATTTATGTATCTGTGTTCTGTTTTCCCGCATTTTAGAAACTGCAGACTCACACAAAATAGGAAGCAAAAGAAATAGAGGCTTGCAAAAAGCACTGTTCACAATGTGACAATACAGTAGGATACTCGTGAACTGAATATAGTGGGAATAGTGAAATTTGTTCAAATGAACCCATCTTTCACTGTAGCTGTGTTAAAGGGATTTCTAGGGAAGGTATGTACAGAGGTGAGATGTACCAGCAAATCTCCTAATAAATCCAACCATTTGCCATGTATTTTATTTCTTCTGGTATTCTTCATGTTTTTATATTCTTCTTCCTGAACACAGACAGTACTTTCTGGTTCTGAGAGCACCATAGCCACCGTCTGTTCTGATTCTTATTTTCTGCAGCCTCAAAGTGTGCTTCCCTACACCTGATTTAGAGGGGCTTGTGTTGTTTTTCCAGTTTATGCTCAAACCACGTTGTCAGTTTGAAATTAAAACCCTTTTAGCAGTTTGGCTTTGGCCAGAATACAGGTGTGAGTGACAAGAGAGCTCAACTCCCCCACACTGTCCAGGATCAGCCTCCAAGTGCTTCATGTCCAGGATAAATAAATTCCTTGCAGACTTCCCTTGGTGGGGGGCTGGAGGGGAATAAGTTGCTGCTTACATTAGGAGCAAAGAGAACAAATTGTGCAAAGAATTCTAAAACCCATCCAAATAACATGGAACAAAGGAATGAATAATAAAGCACAGACTTGCTTCTAGGTCCAGTTCAGGCCAGGACTGTTTAAAATAAGCAAGTGTAAGGAAGTGCAGTGAAAATGAAGCATAGGAATAAATAATACTGGACGCAAAACCATTTTGAAATATAGGACTGTTTTCCAGCAGTTTTCTGCTCTTCTTGACTCTGTTATTTGATTTAAGCAGCACAGCCTTATTTGTTTCAAGGTATTTTTAACACATTCATTGCAGCAGCGTAGACTTGAGGCAGCTTGAAAATAAGACTCAAGGACATGGTGTGGCCATCTGTGGTCTGGGAGCAATGCTGCCATTCCCAGTGCAGGAATTAACTTCCCAGTTACTCCCAGTTGCTTAAGTAGCAGGTTAAGTAACTTGCTGAGGGTCTCTTTTATGGTGAGAGGTAGGAAAACCAAATCTCCTGACTCCCAGCTCTTTGCTTTAATTATGTGTTCTCTGAGTTTAGTCAGTGTTTCCCCTTGCACCAGGCCTTGACATCCGAAAATATTCTGTTTGGGAAGACTACAAAAATAGCAGAATTGTTAATCTGGCTGGGCTGACTGTCCAGTGCTGTGTGCTGCACTGGTGAGCATCAAGTGAGAGGAGGAGACACTGTCAGTCTCTGTAAATGGATTTTAATGGAGTAACTTAGGGAGACACATATTGTTTGTCTGTGTCCATTAATCTTTGGCTTCATCCCTGCAGCATTTGGGGTTTATATTAGTTATATCTGTGTTGTTTCAGTGGATATTCTTGCTCGAGTAAATTTTTAACCATTTCCAGAAACAGTGTGTCATGATTTTATTCCATGCTACCTACAGCATCCTGTATTTTCACATGGTAGTTTGTTCATCACTTACTTAATTTGCATCTAATGAAATATATGTCCTTGTTGATGAATTAGGAGACTGTGTTTTTCGAGCCATATTGCATCTTCACTATGCCTTAATCTATATAGCATATGGAATAATGGAATGGTTTGAATTAGAAAGGCCCTTAAAAGCTCATCTCATTCTACCTCTGCCATGGGCAGAACACGTGGAGCTTCTCCATTTCTAGGGAAAGCACTGTTGGATGAGGTCTGTGTCCTTTGGAAAGGGTACATCATGGGGTGTAGAGGCCAGAACAAGGCAAGAATCCCAGAATGACCAGAAGTGGAAATCCTGCCTGTCCCTTGGTGGTTAACCCCTGTTTGTGTTCCAACCTCCAGCAGATTGACGGTGAGGCCTTCCTGCTCCTCAAGCAGAACGACATCGTTAAAATACTCAGCATCAAACTGGGCCCTGCCCTGAAGATTTACAATGCCATCCTCATGTTCAAGTCTGCAGAAGACAACTGAGAAGGGGCCTTTGGCAGATCCAGGAGGAATTGACAGGGAATGGATCTTCAGCTGTGAGCATTACAACACGCCAGACAGGTGGATTGGGACTCTGATATATTTTAAAGAGAACTTAGTAAAAATGGTTTGAGGTTATAAAAATCTTGCCACAGTCTGGAATATGGGCAGCTTCACTTCCAAGAAGAGGATATTATTATATTTTGTAATTGAATTTGGTTTTGATATATCAATCTCTTTTTGAGATCAAGAATAAACCTCCAGTTCTAAGGGGAATCCAGGGTAGCACTGGTGGAGCTGCAGGAGCAAGAAGAAAGTTTTGAGTAAAACTGGCTTTGTGTCCAGTGATAGTGCCTGAAAGACTGAGTGATCACCAGTGAGATTGTGTTCTGCATAATAAAAGAGAGAGGAAAAAGATGCACTTCAAAGCAATCCCCCTGTATCCTTCACTACTGTGACTCAGGAGCTGACCTTTTCAGGACTGATAGTTAAATTCCAGTTTTCGTACTGCTCCTGGTTGTTGTGACAACAACAACTAACCCTGGGCTGCTGGGCTGCTTACAGCCGGCAGGAAGGCAGCGTGGGCAGAGGGTTTCCATCAGGGATGGCTTGCACTGGTTCTGCCAGCAAGCAAAATGTCCTCATTCCTGTCATTCCCTGTCAGGAGGCAGCGGCAGTGCAGGTGGGCTTTGGGTAGGCAAAGATCCCATAAGGGCCTCTGCTGCTGGAGACAGAGATGTGTTTTAGCTGTAATTCTCCCATCAGTGCTTTTGTGCAGCTCCTTCTGCACCAGGAACATCTGGCAAAATGGCACAGTTGGGAGCACTTGGGCATTGGTGTGTGTTTGTTCTTGCCCTCTCCACTGTCAGCCAAATGCTAGGAATAGGAGTTGGAAAGCCAGCAGTGGCCAGAGTGTGTGTGTAAACAGATTTCCTAGAAACAAATGGCTTTTCTTTCGAACCATCCAAACTGATGAATGTGAAGTGCTTTGGCCTTTGTCCCTTGAGGTGGACTTCAGTGCGTTCCGCAGGAGAGCTGGAGAGCAGGACAGCACCTCCTCTGTCTCTGGGAGGGGAGCAGGCACGGCACACAGGGATGTGAGATTAGAGAGGAATCAGGACTTAAACAGCAAAATGGGGTAACAGTTACTTCCCAAAAGAGAGAGAGCTGCTGTGTGTGGGGAAAGCAGTGGAGTCTGGGGCTGTGTTCTGCACGTGCAGCCTGTGCTCTCCTGGGTGGGAGCACGGGTGGTTCCTGCTCCAGCACAGCCAGTTTAAGGAGCATGCCCATGGACATCCTGGGTGGGGGTTTCTACACGGGTACTTCCCGAGTTGTCCTCTCCCCATGGAAGCCCTGGCAGATGTGGTGAGTCCTGCTGGCTCCTGCTCCGTCCTGCTGGCAGCACCAGCTCGTGGCTCTCCCTCTGCCACTCTCCCTGATGTCTGCTTGGCTGTTCTAGAACCACCTCAGCTCAGGCAGCCCTTGCTGCCCCTCATCCATAGCTGCCAGGCTGAATTCTGTGTGTGGGAACCCGTGGGAGTACTGGGGGTGTGACCTGGAGCTGCCAAAGGCAGGTTCTGCCCTCAGCCTCTACCAGGCTGTGTGGGTATCTCAGGGCACTGCATGGTGATGTGATCCATCCACAGGCACCTCAGACTCCCTTGGCATCTCTGCCACCAGCGTGGCTTCCCAGGAGCTGTCAGGAGCAGAGCAAACGCGCTGTCCATGACTGTGTGGTGACACAAGGAACACACTTCCCCCTTCCTGTGTCACCCACATCCGTTGTCCAAATTTCCTGCTGCTGAGAAGGTTCTTGTGACTTGTCTGAAGCAGAAGGGTCCTTAAAATTGTAAATAGAATCCACACCACTGAAGTAATCAAGTTCTGGAATAATATTTAGAGCAGTTTGTTTCCATATATTTTTTGTTAATAAGAATTTAAGGAGTTTAAGCCTTCACAGAGAAGACACAGGTTTAGTGGGATATTTAATAGCTGAACCATTAAATATCATCCAGGCAGCTGCAGGGGAGAAATTTATTGCAGTGTTAAGGACTAGGCAAGGGGTGAATTTAGTTTATTAAAATATATTTTTAATACGATAACCAGGATATTCACCAAAGAGTCACATCCCTTTATCTCACTCTGCACATCCAGTGTCAACATTAAGACTTGAATTGTAAGTGGCATGTCCTATCATCTGACAGAACTCGCCTTCTGGGCAGAGCAAAATTATTTCTTGACAACTGGAACAGAGGATCCAGAGCTGGGCTATTTTATTCCTGGCTCTCCACTGACTTGCTAAATAACCCTGAGCCCTTCCTTGCTCCAGTTTCCCCCTCTGTGACTCCCAGCCAGGTGGGGTAAGTGCAATTTTGCCTTTTTCTTGTTTCAAGCAAGCAGGTCCTGCCAGATTTTCTGTTTCACCTCCTTCCTTTGGGAGCCTGATTTGAGGGACAGCAGATTGCCTCTAGCAATAAACCAAAATATAATAGTAATTCATTTATTTTACTATATATAGATGGAGGATGAAGAGAATCGGTTAAACAAGCAATGAGATTCTAGTCAGTGACATTATTCAAACAGAAGAGAAATCTTTAATCCTTGGGGCTTCCGAGCCAGCTGGATCAAAGAGGAAAATGTGTACTTGGAGGTTGTTCAGTGACAGCCAGCACAGTGCTTTCAGCAGGGGGGAAGGAGGAACCTTTTAGGGATGAAAGAAGGTGGAATGTACTTCTTGTGCCTTTTTTTGTAATCTGATAATTGTCTTTGCAGAGCAAGCAAGAATGTGCACACATGTATTACCCACTCCTTTCCCAAATATAGCTGTATTCCAATTAAATCCAGCAACTTCACAGGACAAAAAGACTTCTAGTGTCTTCACTGGACACATTTAAAACTCCCTGATATTTACAAGATAGAAAACAACTAAACCATCTCATCTTTTAGCCTCATAACTTAGGAATTCATCAGTTGGCGGTGCCATTCCACTTGTGTCAAAGAGTGCTGCTTTCCACTGTGTTGTTCCTGTCCAAACTCTGCTGTTCCCCGTCCTGCTCCAGGCTTGTGGCACAGACAGGGATCTGCAGAGGCCCTTGGTTATCTGATGCCTTGTGTAATTTGAAATGTGCACTTTGAAGCAAAAATAAAAAAGTTGTGACTCTGTGGGGAGCAAAACTGAAGCTGGTTAATGCCTGCTGGGATTGGGAGGATTTTGAGTCTGCTGGATGTCAGCAAGAACCAGTTGTTGGCCCAGCTGAACCCAGGAGTCTCTTAGTAATACAGATATATTCCTTAGAAGCAATTCGGAGCTGTGACAAGTTCCCATGGGCCAGCAGTGCAATTAGGAATTTCCAGTTCTCAAAATCTTATTCCTGGCTGTGTTTTTGTTCCCTTTTTTGTTGTTCTTGAAAGTAAAAGCAATCACATTTTTTCTCCTTTTCTCCTCTTCTCCTTGGCTGGGAGTCCTGTTAAATTTTTTCTGTGCCATCACCAACAATCATCCCCATAATCCAGTAGCAGCAAATTTCAGCTCTGGGTAATGAATCACATTAAAGTTGGACAGGAGCATTTGGCATCACTGACAGCAAAACTCTGCCGCTGAAGGAAAAGCCCAACCCTCGGCCCAGGGATAAGCCAGTTCAGCTGTACAAGATTTCCTGCCTGCTACTTTTATGCCACAGAGAGCTTTAATGTTTTTGACATTCCCCCCATGATGTGATGAGCCAGCTTATTTTGGAAATTCCTGTTAGTTGAACTGGAAGCACGTGCGGGGAAAGAGAGCAGGGGCTCGGCTCAGCCTCAGAAATGTCTGCCTGTTTTAAACCAAATACTTGAGCTTTTCAACACTAGCCATGACCTTGCGTTCCCCTGATGCTTTCCTCTGGAAATGTGAATAAAATTAATATAAGTTCACACCTGGTTTGTTTCTTCTGTGTGTGGGGCTGACCTCAGCAGTGCTCAGGGAGACATAAGGCTGGCTGCCCTGGAGGGCTGGTACTGGGAGGGCTTGGTCATCACGTTGTTGTCCTTCCCTTAAATGGCAGGCTCAACACAAGGCAGCATCTTCATTTTTATCTCTTTTGTCCATATCTCTTATCTCTGTACTTGAGCTCTCCTTGATGTGTTCACAGGACAGCACTGGCTGCTGCAGCTGTGCCTGATCCTCAATTCCTCACTCTCCTCTGCTGCTGCCAGGTTTTAATCATAGAATCCTGGGATGATTTGGGATGGAAGGGACCTTAAAGACCATCCAGAGATGGAGTAGCTACAGCCACTCTGGGCACCCTGCGCCAGGGCCTCCCCACCCTCCCAGGGAACAATTCCTTCCCAATATCCCATCTATCCCTGCCCTCTGGCAGTGGGAAGTCATTCCTTGTCTCCTGTCCCTCCAGTCCCTTGTCCAAAGTCCCCCTCTGGCTCTCCCAGAGACCTTGTAGGCACTAGAAGGCTTGTGGTTTCCTCTTGAATTCCTTAATCCCTCGTGGTTTCCTATCACAAACAATCCCAGAACTTTATCTTCTTAAAGCAGCTCCCAAAGTTGGGTTTTTAACTAAAACTAGCAAGAACTTGTTCTCAGTATGAATCCATGTTAAAACTGTGCATTTGGGGGCCTGTCTGTTTTCCCTTTCCTTAATGCCCCCCTGAGCTTCTTCACTGTGTGTCCATAACCATGATAACTACCTTACCTGTTTCTGCTCTAATCATAATAGCTGATACATTTTTCAAACCATTCTCTAATGTGCCCCAAAATGAGGCATGGAACCTTTCCTCCTGCTCCTCCCCAGGGGTGTCTGGAGGGAGCAGCAGGTCATGGGTCCAAGGGCAGAGAGGCCACACTGGCAGAGGAGGTTTGCAAACCTTCTGAAACTAAAAATGTTGGAGAGTTGGCTCCCAGTGATAATTTCTAAATTATCCCATCTTCAAAGTAAACATTTGCTCTCATTGGTTTTTCCCTTCCAACGTCTTTGCTTCTATTTAAACCGTGGTTTGTTTGCTTTTGTTACCGTGATCGGATTCCCGGTCTGGGGAGCTGGGCTGCTTGGAGCAGGCTCAGGAACATCAAATGCTGCTCTGTACTCTTGTTAGTTCTCTCAGGGCTGTGCTGGGTTTTGTGGCTGTGTCCTTTGCACTTTGGAGATCTGAGTTTCTCCTCAGCAGTGATTTTTTTTCCCTCCACAATTTTGATGGAGAAGTTTGAGCAGAGCAAGGAGCATCAATCACACAAATAGCTGATTGCATCTGCAGATTATTCTGCTCAGGCAAACATAGAATTTTTTTGTCCCACGTCATATTTCTCCTTTGGCAGGGAAATCTGTGGTTGATCTTTTTGCCTACTCAAATTACTCTTTCAGCCCTGACCATGCTCTGTGGAACTGGATTGTCCCTTGTGCTGAGACCCATCACACAATGCTCCATGGGCTTTGCAAACCCCCTGGAGGGACTGGAGGGGTCTCTCTCATTTTATCGGGTAACCTGCTGTTAGCTGTGGGTGTACAAGGAGGGGGGTACAGACCACAGCTCTCACCTTCTCACACTGCACCACCCTGGTTTCCACAGCAAAGCTCATTTGACAACCTAAAATTCTCAAATCCTACATTTTTTTTTTGGGAGCAGGAACTGTAAAGATAAACCACTGCACTCCCCTGACAGGCCAACCCAGTGGGAAGAAGGATGTGGGGATGGATGGAGAGGGAACCTGCTGTCTCCATCCTGCACTCTGCAGCTGACAGGAAAATTCTAGCTTCAGGAGAAAAAAAGAGTGGTGGCATTAGAGAAAAACAGAGTGTTGGAGTATTCAAGAGAGCTGTTGTGCTCTGCCCAGCCAGCTGCAGAAGTGCCAGACCTTTTCCAAATACCACTCCACTATTTATTGACTTTGCCTGTCATTTCCCCTAATATTTTCTTCTCCTTGCCACCATGTACAGCCTCAGCATATTAATTGCCCCATGACACTTTCTCCTCTCTACATTTTTCACTATCCAGACACTTCTAATGTAAGCAAGATATTTTTTGGAGTCAGATACATTTGCTGCTGGAATATTTCCAGCTGTTTCTTCAAGAAATCTGCTGAAGGCCTTTGCAGAAGGGTATCAGTGCCAGAGCCCCAGAGATGCTGGTTTTCCCCCAGGAAACCACTTCCCACCCACTCCCATCCTGGACTGGGGCACTGGTGACTTCGATTGTTTGCTTTGTTCTCAGAAAAAGGGTTATGGCTTCACCATCATTCAACCTGGCACCCTCACATGTCATCAGCGGCGGGTCTTTTTGAGCCATAGAGTGGCCCAAATGCTGGTCGAAGGATCTTTTGCAGCAATGCTTGTTGAAGGAGTTTTTAAAACCAGAGTATTGTCCATGTCCCTTTCAGCACTTGAGTCGACTCAAATTCCCCGGGTGTTCAGAAACACTTCCAAAAGGTTATTCCAAACTGAGGTGATCTCCATGGCTGGGGTCATGGCTGTGCTGGAATCCAGCAGCTCTGTGGGTCACGGTTGCCAAAACACCTCCACTTTGTGCACCCTCCTAAAACTCGAGAGGGGATTTTCTGCTCCAGGCTCAGGTGCCACGGGCTCCTGGGGGGGGGGGGGGGGGGGGGGGGGGGGGGGGGGGGGGGGGGGGGGGGGGGTTTAATCCCTGGCAGGACCAAAGCAGAGGAGGCTATGTGCTTTGTCTCTGCTAATCAATGTGGGACCACACAACTATTCAATGAGTCTCCAGATGGTTTTCACAATGTCTTGAACTCATCACTTTTATGGGTAACATTGATATAAATTTCCCCATTCTCAAGCATGTCTGTGCTGCTGATTGATGGCTGGGGAGGGTCTTGCTCTTCATTTCAGAAGAAATACAACAGTTGAAATGTTTATTTTTGTTTTCTTCCCCACAAACAGGTATTTTCCTCCCCCTTGTGTTTTGCCAGAACACCACATGCTAAAAGAATTAAACTGATTAAGTCTTCAGAGCTCAGTAGCACCATCTCCCTTTTTCTCCTTGTTTTTTCTTCTTTCTCACCAATCAATTCTTCATGCAATCAGTTAATTCTGCCACTATCCCACCATCAATCCCCTTCCTTTTCATGAATGGTGCACGCACATTTGACCCCACAGGCATCCCCTTCTCTTTACACCACCCCTCCTTCCCAACACTATCCATTCCCCCAATCTCCCTAACCCTGTGTCATCCCAGGGCTGGTGGGATTCCCACTGGAGCATGGGGTGTCCCTTGGGCCAGGAGGGGTAAAGGTAGATCCACGGATTTCCCTCCAGCTCCTCCAAATCCTGTCACAAAACAGCAGGAAGATGCTCTTGGGCAGCAGCAGTGCAGCTCCTGCAGCATCTCAGCCTCCCCTGCTCCCACCAAGCCTGGCTGCAGACCCTTGTCATGGTAGAAAGCCCAGGGCAAACCAGAGCAGCAGCACTGGATCCACCCAGCCCTGTCTGTGTACCCACCCCCAGAGCCAGAGCCAGGCCAGGGTGACCCAAAGCCAGTGGGAATCCCATGGAGCCCGGAGGGGAGAGGCTCCAGTGATGACACGGGATTCTGTTGGGGTCCCTGTGCCCCCGTGGTGCTCCCCAGCTGGAGATCAGGCTGGGCTAGAAGCAGAAAGGAGCCTCGGAGCTGTGATTGGTGTGGACAGGAGCGATGCTGGTGGCTGCAGCACGAGCTGCGCTGCTCATTTTGTTGCAGCAACAAATCTCCAGCAAAGGCAGCTGTGAGAATGCTTTCACTAGAGATGGGAGGCCCCTATCCCACTCTCCATAAATCAGACAGCAGGGTTTCTGTGTCTTCCTTGCCTTGCTGCCTTCCCTGTTTCCCAGGATTTTGCAAAACTCTGTTCTGAGCAACCTATTTGGAAGGAAACTGCCCTAAACAACCCCTGAAACAGGCAGTTGATAAAGGAACCGTTTACATTTCAAATAAATAAAACATTTTTGGCTTTGGATCAAAACCAAGTTGTGTTCACTGTTACCAGTTTCAGTGAGTCTTTTCTTTTTATACTCAGGCAGTTTCTCTTACAAAATGTGCATGAGGACTCACTGTAAGCAGGGCAGGAAGCAGACTGTGGGGTTTTTTTACTATTGCACGAGGTTTTCCCAGGACAGAGACACCAAAGCTTTTTTCTTGCCTTCAAGTTGGTACTTCTTGATGTCTGTTTACAAGCAAATTCCATTAAGAACCAAGAGTGACGCTGTGGATGGCTCTATTGTATGTTAGCACTGTATTTCCAGCTGGATGTTGCAAGTAACTCTATTCCCTACAAATGGAAAACCTTTATAAACTTGAACTGGAGCTTCTGATGGTGGAGCCGTGGAACTTTCTTGCAGGCAGAATAAAAATACAGGGTTTTCCCCTCTAAACTGCAAAGGGCAGGACTGGACATGAGCACTGACAAAATAGCCCCTGTCCACTTGGAAGCACTAAGAGCTTGTGGTGATAACCAGGAGGAGAATAATATGTTAATGTCTCCCAAAAATCAATATCCAGCCCAGCTGGAGACTTGCCATAGCTCAACCATGAGCTTTGGCTCTCACCCACACTCGAGAGGTGCTTAACAGCATCAAAGACATCAGGGGTTCACAGTCTTTGTGCTGAGGTGATGGAGGTCAGTGCTGCAGCCCAGGTCCTCCTCAGGAGCATTCTGTCAACCATGTCAGATGGATGTGATCTTCCTGCATGAGCTTTGCCAGTGGGAAGAGCTGGTAATATATGTTTAAGTTCTTCAGACTGTTAGAAAGCAGGTAACTCATCTTTGAAGAGGAATATGAGGTATTAGAGTGAATTCTCTAAGTGCCGTTTGATCTTATATCCTAGAAAGCATCCAAAAGAGTCTACAAGGGTGCTGAAGGATCCAGAGAGACGACAAGAGGAGAGGCTGAGAACACTTGGTGTGTTCAGCTGGAGCAGAGGACACTGAG